CCCAAAAACAACTGATAAGTCATTTGCACTGTGATTTGTGTGGGTGATATTCAATCTGTAATATCACTTCACTGCTGGGTTGGTTTATCAGACTCTGGAAGCACGTGATTTATCCACAAGGTTCTATCATCTAAAGGTATGATCTAAACATTTTATCCGCTGCATGTTTTATACTTTGATTTACACTTGCTTTTGTAATTTTTAGTTAAAGTTTATTTAAAATGAAAGTGTGCCCACTTTTGTGTGCTCATAAAAGGGTTTTCATGATGTGTTTGCAAGAATCTTATATATTAGATCAATATTCTTTTTGATTTCTATTTTATTTATTTATATTGTATGATTAATTAATGACTGATTAATGAATTGTTGTCAAATAATTAAATGAAGAATTATAAATGTTCTGTAACTTACGGTCATTGAGTGTGGGTTCACATATTATTAGTTACAGAAAATGTTCAATATATATTTCATGCTTACCATTTAGCCTTGTAGTAAAAATTGTTGAAGTTGAGATTTTGTTAAAATTGTTTTAAGTCTTTGGGAAGATTGCTAACATGAAGTTAAATCCCTATTCGTATAGTTGACTATTGCTTACTTTGTGAAAATTTTACTTTTTCAAATGTTTAAAAATAATTCAAACTAAATGTTTAAAATTGGTTCAAAAAATGTGAATATATGAGAGTTCTGTGCAATTATTGTCATACTTTAGTTGTTCTTATTTTATGATACCATCTTCAAATGTTAAAAGATAAATATATTTGAAAATCTGAATTAATTTGAGGTTTTAAAAAATTTTCTATTGAGGAAATGGTGTGGAGAATTTTAAAGGTAAGAAATATTCTGAAATTAGTTTGCTTATATAATTGAAGTTTTTTTCAAAATTTCTATTTAAACTCAAAATGAAAAGGAAAATGAGGTGGCTATATCTAAAAGCACTATAATATTCTTGTTGTGTGAAACGAAAAAAAATGAAATGAGAAGTGTTGTGAGGTTACACTAATATCTGTGTCTTGAAGAATTCTTATATGTATATTATGTAAAAATTAGGGCCTATATTTGAGTTTTTTATTTTGGTTAAAACAAATTTGAATGTTTGTTTTGGCTGAATTATATCTTATAATTGTGAGGAGTTGTGTCTATTTAATTCAGTGTAATTTGAAAATAAATTCTTTATTCATAGGTCATGAATTAGAAGAGAAATTCGTAACACTTAATAAGGTTTTGATTTGATAATTGAATGGCATGACGATTATATATATTGTCAATGTGTTGTGTTTATTGGAGAATTGTGTTTGAAAATTTTATAGGTGTATAAAGATAAGAAGATGAATGTTGTAATGGAAAAGGCTTAACGATTGTAAACTCCATGAGATGAAGAAATACATCGTTGATCAACAGTTAGGCTTGAGAAGCCAAAAGAGGAATTTTGCCTCTGGACTAGCACTAAGGCTAGATCTATTATTTGTCGTAGGGGGTGAGTGTAAGCCCATTAGGAAGTCACCTAGGGAGGTAACCCATCTTCTGTGATTGGAGATCCCATGAAGTTCAATGGGTAAAAACAATCCATATAGTGTGACTTGATTCCAACATTCATTTTTTAGGAGACACCATATCAAGGTTGATCTCATGCTCATCCCTAAGGCAGTAGTGCTAAAGAAGTAACTGGTTAGGAAGGGTTTTACCCTGAATGAATCCAAGGTAGGCAATCTCCTACAAGGTGCATTCTGTCACTGTACCTTTGAAGGGTTCTACTTAGTGGGGTGGGAGTTGTCATGAGGCCGCGACTTGGAGACTTGGGCTAGTCTCTAGTAACCCCATGAGAATCAAGATCTAGTGCATGGCCTTTAAGAGCACTAACTTACGAACTGATGTCCAATACCAATGCTCTGTGTGTGACAAGTTGAACTTTGGCTCAAAGGGTCCAGTTCAAGATATATTTCACTATGATCCGTCAGATGAAAATTGTCAACACTAAGTGTGGTTCAAGCCCGGAAGGCTCCCACATCTATTGCGCAATATGCAGTTGTCCTTATATATATTTATATTGTTTTGAATATAAAGTTCTACATTGTGGGGGTATAATATAAACATTATGGTAGTATTAAAAAATTTATTTTTATTAAAAGTGGGGGAATGTTGGAATTTTAATAAAAATAAAATCAATTATTTCTATTTAATTTGTTTGACCGTTATGAACATTAAAATTGATTTTAAATATTTCGGTTACAAAGATATTATTAAGTTTTATTATTATAATTATGTAATGATTAAATGTTATGAGATTTTCACTTATATATATTCCTGTGTTTTCTAAAGATGGATGATGGATAAAAATCGGAAGAAGACATATGTATATGTGATATTGAGTTTTAACATAAGAGTACTTTATTTATTTTATGTATTTCTGGGCAATTACGGTTTGTGACTCGTTCATATCCTCCTGGTGGACGTGAACATCGGATGAGGAAAGCTGTGAGCGCTTGGGTTGTATCTTGGAGCCATTGCACTCCGGTTGTACCTTCACATGGAGAGGAACAACGGCTTTAGGGCAGTGACTACATGCCTCTCAATCTCACAGGCCAATTCTTTCTTACTCTTTGTGAATTTACTTGCTTTAATATTTTATTTATTGTAAATCTATTTTATTAATTAAATTATATTAGTGCATAGCTTTTTTCTAACAAATGTATGGTAGTTTTGTGTTTGAATGATTGAGAGTAGATTGTACAGTGGTCTATGTAGCTGTCTTTTGGATAGTAAGAAGATCAGAAGTCCAAGAGATGAAGGCGATAGAGTTACTGTGACTCTTTAGTTGTTATCTAACTTATTATTCCACTAAAACTCTGTTTATTTGGATGAAAAATATTTTTTTGAAATTTTTTTCGCATTTTTTGGTATTTAATACAATAGAAAACGAAAGTTAACAAAAAATATTTTTTTATGGTCAATGATAAACAAACCTTTTTGGGCTAAAAATGTTTTTCAGTTTTAAAAGGTAGAAAAAAATTTCTGGACTAAAATTTTACTAACGTCACCATACCATCACCAACACCAACACCACCACCACCACTCCCACATCCACCTCCACCTCCACCTTCATTCCACCACCATCACCGCCAAACATAAACAAACATTTTCTTCGGAAATAATTTTTTGAAAAAGTTTTCCATAGGAAAATATTTTCTACCCAAATAATGGAGCGTAACATCCTATGTTTGCCCAAAAAAAAGGAGAAAAGAATGATTGAGTGTGTTTTTGTAACAACCCTCGTCACTGTTTACTGATTAACCACTGATTTCCGTTAAACTGAACTGATTATGACTGATAAGTGAACTGAATAAACTACTAAACTGACCGACTGAAATTGAAACTGAATTGACTGAGTATACCTGTTTAATTGTAATTCTATCTGTTTGGTTATTTGATTATCTGTTTGTGCTTTTATGTTTAAATTGCAAATTGAAGGCCTTATCGGCGGCCGAATCCGAAATTAATTGATGATTTGTGATCCTTGTAATTTATGTGATTTTATGGTATAGTTATTTGAAAATTGATTCGGTATGATTAAATTAGGTTAATTATTGAGAAGTTACGTAGTTTGACTTAACTACAACTTTGCCATTTGAGTGGGCCACTACACCAAACCTTGTCTAAGGCTTAGTCTTGCATTACAGACATTTGCTCAGCCATTATTCTTGAGTGTATAGCCGACTAGAGAGGGAGAATAGGGAGTTAGAGTGAATTCATCTTGAATTGCTTGGAATCTTGAAGAAATTATGAGGGATTTGCCTTCTTGAGCCTCCATACCTCTAATTCAAGACTTAGGTAAGGAATTCCAACCTCTCCTTGTTGTATGAAGCTTGTTCATGTGTGGTTCTTGAGCCTTTAGTGATTTAAGTCAAGTTTTGGTCTCATGATGTTGAATTGGAGCCTAGTTCATGCATGCATGCCTTTACTTTGAAGTTTTGAAGTTGTCCTTCATGAAATTGTACATGCATGCTCAAATTTTTACAATAGACCATGTTTTCACCTTGTCTTTGAAAGAATTGGCTCATTAGAGCATGAAATTGAAGCTTGAAATGGTTTAAATTCATGCATGTTTGCATGTTCTTCATATTCATGAAAATTGGTTTGAATTGGATTTATTTGAAACACCCTTGGGTTTTGATTTTACAAATTGAGTTTTGAATCATGTTAAAGTATGAGTTTTGATGTGTTTTCTAGAAAATTGGCCCAAGAGGATCGAAATTTATGGTTTAAAACTTGGTTTTGAGCTTGAGGTTCAAATCTGGAATTTCCAGAATTTGGACTCACGCTCGAGCGGGGTGACTGGCGCTCGAGCGTGGAAATCGTGCTCCCAGCATTTTGTTCTGTTTTGAAGTCCGCTCGAGCGGAATAATTGACGCTCGAGCGGGGCATTGTGCCTCATGCTCGAGCGGGTGTCGAGCGCCCAATCGAGCGTGATTTTCGCCTATCCAGCACTTTTGACTGTTTTGCAGAACGCTCGAGCGGGTAAGTATACGCTCGAGCGGAAACCTTTGTCTGCATGTCCGCTTGAGCGGATTAACCTACGCTCGAGCATAACCCCTGTTTTCTGAAAAGTCTGGAAATGCTTTTTCAAGTGCATCTTTGCATCCTCGTCTCATCTTAGGCATTCTTAGGCCTAGTTTAAGGCATCTTAATGAGGATATAGATGTAGAACACACCGAGGCAATTAGGGATTAAGTTATTATCCTTCCCACCTGTATAGCTTAGTGTGTGTTCAATCTGTAACTGTGTAGGGTTGGTGACTGGGGACGCGCTCTAGCTTACTGTAGCCCAAAACTCTGTGAGTAACATCTGTGTAAAGATATGTTCAAAATGATTATCTTCTGAACAATTGAACTGTACTGCTTTCTGAACTGATTACTGTTAACTGAATGAATGTATGTCCTATATTCTGAACTGTATTGTGGCATCCTTAGCACCTAGTTTACTGATACTGCTATAGAGATCTCTGTCGGTTCCCTCGTTGGAACCACTACTGTTACTGACTGATGGCCATCATTTACTGTTCGGTCTTTTAAGACCTACTGTTTACTATACTGTTATGCTAATGGATGTACCACATATGACTATATCGACTGAACGACTGAAATACTGATTTAATGAACTGTTTTCATTACTGTAAGGACATTCATTCTTAACCCCTTTACGCATTGTGCTATTCACTGGGCTTTAGCTCACTGCTCATATATATATGTAGGTGTTTAGGCACCAGACCGCAGCTAGAAGCGTCGGGTAAACTCCAGTTTTGTCGAGCCAACCTATGTGCCTTAATGCGAGGTTCCGAGCCTGCCATGCTATGGCATAGGGGTCTTTTATTTCCCCATTCTGTTTCTGTATCTGTTCTATTTGACTGTATTGACTGTACTGTACTGAATGATTGTATATATGTATATACTGTTTTGTCTGACTGTGCATATTTGAATGCGAAGTCTTTTTGCATACAGACTGTCACAGCTCATTGGACATTGTTTATTTACTGTATTGGCATCCGCCAGCCCCTGTACTCTGTATTACTGCATTTCTGTTAAGCAGGCCTTCGGTAATCTCGGATTACTGGCCTGTTACGGTGCTAAACCCATAGGGGCGGGTTCGGGTCGTGACAGTTTTGGTTGTGATGATTAATGATGTTGAGCCTGTGTGTGAGTGTTTTTCTTTTTCGGTTAGGCTAGTTTTTTTTTTTGGAGTAAAAGCTTTATTTGATATGATGCACTTCAATGGACAAATTTATATTTAAGCATAAATTTGAGTAAAAGCTTCACTAGTAATGACACAGTTGTAAATTAGAAAGTAACAAAATGGTCCTGAAAATTTTCAGTAAACATTTGAGTCTACTTGATTTGAGTGAAAAAATGGATAAAACGTAATTTGATATAAGTTTTTTTTAGAGAGAAAATTTGATATAAGTTTGATACAAGGAGTAGAGAGAGGTTTTTGAGTGTTTTTACCCAAATTAAAATTTCTTATAAGTTTGAGTCAAGGTTGAAAATATAGCTGGAATAAATTTGATATGGCTTGAATATAGGCTTTTAATGGGGGGTTTTTGAGCTGGTTAATTACACATTAGCTAGAATGAGGATCCATTTGCTATGAGTGAGGTTAATCATGGGACGTGCATGTATTACAGAGGAATGTCACTTGGTTACACGTGATTTCGTAGAATCGGATTGAGTTACATCGTAACATTCTAAAACAAAATAAAGTGAAAATTTGTCAATAATGATAGTGCACGTTAACTATTTTCAAAATCATCAAAGAGAAATTATTAATTTGATATAATGCATCTTTTAGTTTGGGTGCATGGTCTGAAAAAATGTGTTTTGGTTGTTGTTACTTGTTGCTGTTCTGTATTCAATTGAGAAAATATGAAAACTGTTGAAATTGACGTGCCATTTTGTGCAGCTGGTTTATTGGCAGGACTTCTTTGTCATTGTGGTTTAGTATTTCATTTTGTGCTATCTAGTTGAGTAATCTTTTAATTTTTCTTTTACTGATTATTTTGTATTCGTTGAAGATGGGTAATTACTTTCTGGAGTACCTTTTAGGCCCTATTTATTAGAACAAATGAAAGAAAATAGCATAATTGAAAGAAAACTTTTAGGTCCCATTTTCTAACTTGATGATATCATTGTTTTATTAAATAGGGTGGGAATGGGGTTGGTTTTTTTAATTCTAGCCCACTGGACAAGGAAAAATTATAAGATTTAAACCTATTATTCCATTCTTACTCTCAACATTTTGATTTTGTCACTCTCTTCCATAAATCCATAACCCATAAATGAAGGGTGTTTTTGAAATATTAATTTTATACCCAAGTATGATTTGCAAACCAAATGTTGGATTTGGACAACCTTGGGATATCCAGTTCCCGTCATTAGTTCAATTCAATCTAAGTTGTCCTAGGATTACAATTTCCGTCATTATTTATCCAATCTGTCATCCACTTTACGTATTTTATGTCAAAGGTTAGGCCTGCACCCAGTCTATCCCTCCTACATTCCCATCTGATGGGGACTCAACTGGCTTACTTGTCATCCGAACATGACCTTATAATTTCGTTTGATGTTTGAAGTCTTCAGACTGACCATTTTGTTTTTGTTTTTTCAATTACCAAAACAGACTTCCTGGATGATGAATTCAAAACAGAGGATAAAGTCAAGAATGAACCAGGAAAAGCTCATCACCTTCCATTTTTTCTAAAAGAGGAAAACCTTAGTGAGGAAGAACTACAAAAAATTCTGGATGAGCGTTACAAACCAGGCTCCAGTTTTGTTACATATGCAGAAGATAAGTGTAAAACATTGAATGAAGGAAATGCAGTCAGGCCATTGTCTAGTGATCCAACCATCTGGAAAGTCAAATGCATGGTATAGTTCTCAATTATTCTAGTGGTTCTGTTCCAAACTGCCTCTCTGCACTTACCTTTCAATCTTTCTTTGTGTCTTCCTGAGAAACTTCTTCCATGTAGGTTGGACGTGAGAGGCGTTCTGTTTTCTGTTTAATGCAGAAGTATGTGGACAAGCACTCTCTTGGAACTGAGCTGCAAATAATTTCTGCATTTGCGCTTGAGCATGTGAGGGGTTTTATTTATATTGAAGCTGAAAGGCAATTTGATATTAATGAGGTAGTCTTCTTCTTCCTTGACTTTTGAGTACTGGTTATTGGAAAAATGAAAGTTTTTGTTGCATCACCGGTATTTTTGGTCCTATAGTCCTATTGGCAATGTCGTTGTAGGTAAACTAGTATGGAAACATTTTATTATTAAATGTAGGCATGCAAAGGGATTTGTACTATATATTCAAGCCGACTAGTACCTGTCGCAAAGAATGAAGTTTCTCGTTCGTTCTGTGTGCGAAGAAAATACAATGAAGTTTCAGTGGGCACCTGTGTCCGAGTGAAGAATGGGAAATACAAGGGGGACCTCGCACAGGTATTATGGTTGTCTGTTGGACAAAGCTATTTACAAGCTGGTTTTCATGTTTATCTCTTCTCTGGCTATTTTCTTTGATTGAATTACCGCTATTCTAGCAGGTTTTTGATATTCTAGTTACTGTTTCAATCATGTTTCTGTAGGTTATAGCTGTGAATGATGCACGGAAAAAAGCTACAGTAAAGCTAGTCCCCAGAATTGATATGCATGCAATGGCTGAAAATCTTGTAATGAGTTTCTCTTATCTCAGATGGGATTTCTTTTGTTTTATAATATATATATATATATATATATATATTTACTTTAGCATATTGTAGGAAATACCTTACAGAGTAATTGTTTATTCTTTTTTAAGAATTTTTTTTTTTTTACCAACAATAGTGTAGAAGTAGAAGTAGAAACTGCAGCTATTCTTCTGGATGCCCATTTGGTGAAACTTCACTGTGATTCTTCTTTGACTATTTTTGTCTAAATATTTTTTTGAGTGGATCATGATGATACTGAAAATCAGTCACTGAGTTGCTCAAAATTTTCAAAATTTGAAAGCATTGTGTTTTTGGTTGGTTTTGTGTGTTCGACTGGATGACACAGAAAACAGATACAGATATTGCAAACATCTATTCTTTTTCATCTCAATTTTCTGAAAAGTCTTGAGAACAGTGAATGTAACAGGCCACCTCAATTTTTTCTTACTGATTTTCAAAAAGATTGCACCAAGAACCCATTATTTACTTTTATTGTCAGTTGCACGAAATAGTCTTAAATCTGTATATTTTGTCAGATATGTGAGATTTTTTTTCATACATTTGTACAGGGTGGAGGAATTGCTTCCAAGAAGATTGCTATTCCACCACCGAGATTAATCAGCTCTACTGAACTTGAGTAATATGCATACTCACATTTATTTATTTATTTATTTATTTTGGTCAGTTTGGAATGTCACAGTGAGTGTAACATTTGTTTACATGACATTGGTGTAGGGAGTTCCGGCCATTCATACAGTATAGACGTGATCGTCACACTGGCCAAACTTTTGAGGTTCTTAATGGGCTAATGCTCAAAGATGGTTATTTATACAAAAAAGTATCAACTGATTCATTAAGCTTCTGGGGTGTAATGCCTTCAGATGATGAGCTCTTGAAGTTTGAAACTTCTAAGAAAGAAGAATCTGATTGTGAAGAGTGGCTTACCCAGCTTTATGGTGAACAAAAGGAAAAATGCATTATAAAGACTGACAAATGTGGTGGGAAAGTCAAGGGTTCGACAAGCTCTAGCATGGCAAGTAGTTTTGAAGTGCACGATCTTGTGTTTTTCAAGTAAGGCCATGACCTGCACTTTTTGAGTCAGAGATCTTATCCCAACTGGGTATATTTATGTTCCTTGCTCTGTTATTTTTTAATTTTATCTTATTTTTTCCATTTCAGTCCAAAGGGTTTTGGGGTTATTGTAGGCACAGAGAATGATGATAACTTCAAGGTATAAAAATTTATTTGCGTGCTTCATCTCTCTCTTTTTCTGGCCTCTTACACATTTTGATGTGTTCCAGATTTTAAAAGAGGGTCCAGAAGGACCAGAGGTGGTGACTGTTGAACTGAAACAGTTGAAGAATGGGTCCTTCGACAAGAAATTCATTGCACTAGATCATCACATGAAAACAATATCAATTAATGATACTGTCAAGATTTTGGAAGGTCCATTGCAGGTTTGAAGCTAGTTTTAGATTAGGAGTTTGACCTATCTCTGTTAATGTCGTATACTGTTAATGATTTTCTTACAACTCCACTTTGTCATGCATTTCAGGGTCAGCAAGGGATTGTTAAGAAAATTTATAGAGGAACAATGTTCTTATATGATGAAAATAAACAGGAAAACAGTGGCTATATGTGCTGTAAATCTCAGATTTGTGAGAAAATTATACTTTCTGATGACGCACGTAATGGAAAGGTTGTACGTCTTATTACTCAAGTGTACTAGGTTTTTTCCCCCCCTTTTCTTTCTAATGTATTGTTCTGTTTTTTAATCAGGGTGGTAAATCAGGGCCTCCAGCCATTGACAATTTCTTGGCATGTCCTAAATCCCCTCTGTCACCTAAAAAGCCTCAGAAAATGAGGGAAAATAACAGCAACTGTATGTTTAGAAGTCTTTAATGCTTTTATATACAAACTGACAGTGTAAGATAATGACATCCTTTCTCCCTATGGGACAATTGTTATGAATGCAGTCAACCGAGAGGATAAAGATGGAATTTTCTCTATTGGTCAATCATTGAGAATTAGAGTGGGTCCTCTGAAGGGATACCTGTGCCACGTGTTGGCTGTACGTGGTTCTGATGCCACAGTAAAGCTTGATTCTCAGCAGAAACTTCTTACAGGTTTGGCGATGGTTGCTTGTGTCAGGTTCTGTTTTGGTGGTGGCCAAATCTATTGTACACATTCCTTACAAGGATGTGTATTATGTGGAATCAAATCCTAAAGTGATGTTGGTTTTGCCACAAAGTGGTGTTGATTATGATTTGACGTGGTGGTCGGATCCACCTATGTCAAATCAAAGTGGGCCAGCTTTGGTTACAACCAAAAAGTGGTGTTCGGTTACGACTGAAAGTGGTATTGGTTATGTCCCAAAGTGGTGGTTTTGGTTATGCCCCTAAGTGGGGGTTTTATGACTCAAACTGGTGTTGCTTATGATTTGTAAGTGGTGGTGGAATCCTCCTATGTCAAATCAAAGTGGGCCAGCTTTGTTTATGACCCAAAGTGATCTTTGGTTATGACTCAAAATGGTGTTAGTTATGGTTTGAAGTGGTGGTGGGATCTGCCCATGTTAAATCAAAGTGGGCCAACTTTTGTTATGACCCAAAGTGATGTTTGGTTGGAACTCAAAGTGGTGTTTGGTTATGACCCAAAGTGGGGGGTTATGACTGAAAGTGATGTTGGTTATGCCCCACAGTGGTATGTGCATATGGTATACACTCAAAATGCGTTGTGCACTGTAACACAACCCTTTGGTGGTAGAGTAAATCTTTGTTGTAATTTATGGTATATGTTAATTTTGCAGTTAAATGTGAGCATCTTTCCAAGGTTCGTGGAAAGCATTCTGCCATTTGCTTGGGGTATCATTTCGTATAACTCTGAACTCTTTTGATCAGCATGTTTTTAAGTTCAATGTTTGTGACAGTTTCTTGATACCATTTTGATGTGTTGCTGGTTCTTTCAAAGTGTTGATGCAGAATCTACAAAACCATTTGATCTGCATGAAAAAGACTGCTCCGGAGGTAGGAATCTGTGGTACTTCGCTGAATATTGTTTTCAGTTTGATCAGCATAGTTTCCCATTTAATTTCCCTTTGTCTAGTAAATCTCTATAAGACTCAACTGGAACCTTTTTTTCTAACTTGAAAGTTACAGTTACTACAGTGTGTCAATCAATATAGTCACTGTAACACAACCCTTTATTTTTTTTTAATTGAGCGATGTTTTTATCTTATGTGGTGGTAATATATGGTCGTATATTTTGAAGATCGGATGGCGGGAGCTGGAACATTAGTGAAGGTCAAAAGGTTGGTTGCAGGAGGACTGTCTACAGAAAGGTTGGATAATTTTGCATGTCCATTATTAATTTATCAGTGCACCTCCTCATCTTGTGTTCTCATTTACAGGTTTATATGTCAGTGAAAACTCTTTGAAATAATTGTGCATGTCCATTATTAATTTACTCATGCACCTCCTCATCTTGTGTTATCATTTAAAGGTTTATATGTCAGTGAAAACTCTTCGAATTTTAGAGTTTAGTTTCAATGGTTCTTCACCATTCAATTTGAGTATTTTGATTTGATGGTCACGCTTGACTTTTCAAAGATATTGGCTATTTTTGTTTGTATCTATATGAAAAATGCCTTTGCTTTGACGGAAGATCATATTAGTTTCTGAATGTGAACGTGCTATCTGTAGTTCTAATATTATTGTACAAAATAATTGAAGTTACAAAATAACCTAAAAGAACTGTAAAAGAAGAATGATTTCTCCTTATCAATAAATATAGAGTACTTTATTTTGTTAATAATTGTCATTGTAGTCATTATTGAGCATATCTTAAGCTCGATATTTTCTTGAAAATATTATCATCCGTAATTTTCTAAATAACAGGTAATAAATTGCTCATGCATTCTGTTCTCTGCTGTTGCCATTCCTGTACTATTATCGTACAAAATAATTGAATTTATAGATAACCAGAAAAGAATTATGAAGGAAACCTGTTATGTCCCTGTACAACAGAAACTGTGGGCTGTATTTATTTATTTTTGTAAGTAAGATCATATTATTAGGAAACTGGTAATTAGAAACACACCTCTAACACAGAGATTATTGCTTTTCTATATCTTCTTGTGTGTGTGAGTGCTGTTTCAAAGAGAAAGGGCTGGGGGGGTTGAGGGGGAGCATTTTGTTGGGTGCACACATACTTATATTAAAATAACAAAAATACATTTGGAACTTATTATTCCAAAATGCTTTTTAATTGTGTGCATCATTTTGTAAATTCTAACGCTGTGTTTGGTTGGGAGATTTATGAAGGGATTTGGAAATGGAAATGGAAAAAATGTGTGAAACTAGGCGAAATGTAGGTATATTTTATTCACATTTCACCTATCTTTTCCCTTTCCCTTTCCAAATCCGTTCCCAAATCCTCCAACCAAACATGGCATAAGGAGTAGAATAGATTTCATTGATGGTTTGAACAAACAGGCTGTTCTCTTTCTTCCAATTTTTAATTTGTGAGTTGTATAGTTTGATTGCCCTAGCAAAGTGACGTAGATGTGATAATCATTATGATAAGAGAAGTGACAACCTTGATTCTTGATGGAGTGGAAACAAATTATCTATTTGCGAAGATACCAGTTTAGAGGAGACCATAATATTGCTCGTTAGTTGGGGAGGGTCATGTGTAATTGTATCTTTGTTTGATGTTACTGTTGACCTGTGGTGGAACACATTCTATATATAATTGGGAACTAAAGTTATGCAACTTAAGTTATTTGATTATATTGTTTTTAACTTTGGAGCATAATGTATTTCACAAATTGTAGATTGCTAGTAAGCCATTCTTGAGTTGATAGTAACATTAGATTTCTTAGTGCATTTATTTCATTATTGATGGCAGTTTGACATTCAACCTTTTGTGTTTTTCTTTTTCTGTTTAACAATGCATATGTTGTTGTGCTCTGATTTAATTTACTTACTTTGAAAATTGAGCTGTTCTGGTGGCACTATTATGCAGGAGCTCTTGTCCTGCTTTCCCATCTTCAGGCGTCTCGGTTAGTTTTCTAACTTGGTCTAAATTTATTATGCACGAGCCCTTGTCTTGCTTTCCCCCTCTAACAAAATCTCTCTTCTCTTTTCATCCCCCCTCCCTCTCTCTCTCTGTGTCCACCACTTTTGTTTTCTTTTTCTTTTTTTTCTCTGATGATGATTATTTATTTCCCAGCTTCTGCCAGAATCCAGCTTTGCAAATCCTCTTAATTCTGTTGATAAAGGAAGGAATGCTACTAAAAACCTGACAAGCAGCTGGAGTAAAGCAACTGCTGGTAAAAACCCACTGAGTTCTCGGGGCAAAGGAAAATGTGATGGAAATGATTTATCTATTTGGAGAAAAGCAATTGATTCAGTTGATAAAGGCACTGGTGAGAAAATTCCAGAAGGTTCATGGGGCAAAGCTGCAGAAAAGTGGAGCGATATAGAGGGTTTTAGTGGAAGCAAGGCAGCTTGGAATGGTTCTCTTGCTGAACCCAGGAATCAAATTGTGGGATGGGGTAATGCAGGTGGGAATATAGGAGATGAGTCCAAAAAAATGACAGTTCAAAATGACAGTTGGTGTAAGCCATTGGGTGGGAACCAAGGATTTGGTGGTTGGAACAAAAGTGGAATGGGAAAGGAGGGTGGCACAGATCAACGAGAAAGATGGGTTAGGACAGAAACATTTGATAGAGGGCGTGGTTCAGGTGGGAGAAGGGGAAGAGGAGGCAGTCGAGGAGGCAGAGATCAAGTTGGCAGAGGAAGATCATTTGCTCGAGGCCAGGTGGGAGTTCCGGAAGATTCTAGGGGTAAAGCTGCGGAGAAGTGGAGCAGTAAAGATGGGGCTAGCGGAACAAAGGCAATCTGGAACCAAGGCAGTAAAAATGGTTCTTGGGGTAGTTTTGAAGGATCTTCATGGAATAAACAAAGTGGTGGATCTTCTTGGACTAAGCAAACTCATGTGAACACAGGAGATGAGTTCAATGAAAGGACAGATCAAAAATACAATTGGGTTAAGCCATTTGTTGGGGACCAAGGATTTTCTGGTTGGAAGAAAAATGGGATGGGAAAAATAGAGGACACAGGCCAACAAGAGAGCTGGGATAGGACAAAAACATTTGATGGAGGGCGTGGTTTAGGTGGGAGAAGGGGAAGAGGAGGTAGGCAAGGAGGTAGAGATCAATTTGTCAGAGGCAGATCGTTTGATCGAGGAGGATATGGAGGTAGAGGTGGATCAGAGAAAGGAGGTTTTCGAGGCAGAGGTCAATCAAACAGTGGAGGGTATGGAGGCAGAGGTGGATCAGAGATAGGAGGTTTTCGAGATAGAGGTCGATCAGACCGTGGAGGCTATGGAATTAGAGGCAGATCTGATAGGGGAGGCTTTCAAGGTAGAGGAAGGTCAGAAAGGGGAGGTTTTGGAGGCCAAGGCCATGGGAGGAAGGATCAAAACGATGATTGGCGCAGCAAAAATGATTTTGTTGAGAGATGGAAGAGTAATGATAGTGGAGGCAGATGGAACCAAGACAATGGTAACAGGGGCCAAATTTGGAATTCTGGTTGGAATCCATCAAAAGGAACTCTGGGAAGTGGAGCTGCTAATGGCCAAGCTGGTGGGTGGAACCAAGGAACTACTGACTCTGCTAAAAGATGGAGCACCAGCTGATACATGGGGCAAGGCCAATGATGGACGTGGCAGAAGAGGCCAAACTCTCAAAGTAATTACATTATCTAGGTATAATTGCATATTTGGTTTTTTTATACTAGTGCCCATTGGTAGATTTCAAACTTTCTTCAAGTCTAACTGTCAGTTTTTAATTAGAAGTAACAGAACTGTGCTTTTTTTTCTTTTTTCTTTTTTTGTGGCCTTTTATCGTTCATGTTTAGTTTCTCTAAATTAATTATTTGACAGTGTGACCATAGAAAGCCAATGATGTGATCTGAGGCAGCTAATTAGACTACAATAGTTTGTTGCATGATGAGATGCCCTTGTTGCTTGTGGTTTTTGCTCAGTCATATACTATATATAGCAGAAGCATATAACAGAATAGATGAAGGTGTTTAAAGTTATAATTAATATGTTCATTGTGTTTGTTGTGCAACACAGTACAATTTCACCGTGTTCTAGAATTGAAGAGTTTGTTTTCTTATTCTTCTAAAAAATAATTATTAGAGATCTAGAAGAAAAATAAAAACAAAAAACCCTTGGTCAATATACACGCCACGTACAACATTATACAAAAGGGCACTTAGACCACAGGTCTAGAAATTATAACACTAATAGGCTCAAGCTTAAATCTTTTTCTAGCCAAAATGACATTATCTGTCTAAGAAGATACCTATGTTCAAAGTTTACATATCTATTCAAATGTGATATATATACTTGTCAGCTAGTTATCCAACTATTTGTTTAAATCTTATCTATTTATATTTATACATGTGTGACTTATCTATTCACCTATCTGTCCACCTTACCACCAACCGGCAGCAGCCACTACTGTCATTTTTCAGCGACTTTTCAACACGTGTCTTTATTACCAGAAAATATTAAATCTTGGATTAAATAACATATAACCCTATGGGAATAGACTTTTCACCAATTAATCCTATATAAAAAATACTCTTTGATAGTTTTTTACTTAATTTGCCAAACGCCAACCAAAAAATATGATGAGTTTTTCCATGATTTGAAAAAAAAAATTATTTTTTATTTTTTAATAAGGTGTAGCTAACAAGTGTTCAAATCAACCAAACGAATCAAAAAATAAAAAACAAGAAACATTTTTCACAAAATTCAAAATACTTTTCATAAATTTTAGATCAAATTTTAATAATTTTATCTACTCCAAAGCATTTCATACACCATAGCAGTGCACCAAATAAAATGATACATTGTCTATAAATAAATAAATAAAATACAAGATTCACACTTTTCCCCCCACCCTGTGTTACATGGACTCTTCTATTTCCCCCACAATACCCGTGTCCACCGGATATGACATGGATAAGGGTGTGGGATATGTGTCCGACGCTCGTACCTAATTTAGACACCCAGATCCTTTAATTTGTGACAATACATGAAGAAAAAGAAACTTGCATTTGTTAGTAAAGCAATATTTTTAGGCTCTCACATGAATTAGATATAGAAATTTCATATTTTTTTCTAAATCATATTTAATTTCTAATATATTTCTACATAATTTAAATCATCTCATCCGAGAATATTATATAATATACAATATATATGTGCATATGACGTGTCCCCGTATCCATATCCAATTTTGGATACATACCCCAAGATCCTAAGATTTAAATTTATGAAGGTCTGACGCTTGGATACACACTCGCACCCGACACTCGTACCCGAGTCCATGTAACATAGCCCCCACCATATCACTTCTCATAAATAAAAATATTAAGTCTAAGAGTTGTATAAAGTTATGGGGAAAAATGAGTTTGATGCTACATAATTTTCTGAATTTATAAAACCCATCAAATAAATTAAGGAAAAGTCTGGCATCTCAGAATTAGAGTCTTAGGCTCTGTTTGGAATGATTTCCAAACTATATTTTTGCCCCCATATTCCAGCATGATGTTTGGATACCACACTTAAATCACATTTCCACAACATTTTACAAAACTTTGCACAAAACTTTGTCTAAGGCGTGATTTTCAAAAAAAAAAAATTTCAAATTTAGCCTAACCGATCATCCGGCCGGTTGGCCAGAACGGCACAATTTTTTTATTTTTTTTTTTTGCAATTGACATATGTTAATTTTTATATATTTGAAAAAAAATATTTTCCGAATTTTTAAATTTTTTTATGTGCTTTAATAGAATTTTGAGTTGTATGTTTGGTTATGAATTGTAAGTTTTTTATCAAATATCATGTCACATCAAAAATTTTCCACTCAATTCAAAACTCTTTTCAAAACTCTTTCACCAAACAAATTTTTCACCCTCAAATCATAATTCAAAACTTACAAACTCAAAATACAACTCATACTCTCAAATCATATTTACAAAACTCTACCAAACGCAACCGTAGAATTTATCTAAAAATGGATATGTGTAGTGAAGATTAAATTGATGAAGTATGTGTGGCCCACGAATAAAATGAATTTGAATCATTGATTGTCCTTTCTAAGTAAATTCTTGGTAAATAATTCTAGATTTGTAGTATTGCTAATATGTTAATTATCTCTCACCCACCAAAGACAAATTACTAGTAGTTATTTGGTAATTAGCCAAGGTATTTTTATTTGGGGAATCTTTTTTAAAGTCCCTCGTATTAAGATTTTATAACATAAAGGACATGAAATATTTTCATAATAGTTGGGGTCCCTCAAATTTTTACAAAGAAATTTCAAAAGCAGAGAAATTTCGATCCAGATAAATTTTGAAACACATAGTGGTTTGAAATTCGTCTGAAATTTAAATTTCTCTAGTTTGCTCACAAATTTCTCTGTATTTTGATCAATTTTGTTTGATTTGCTCACAATTTCCTCTGTGTTTTGAACAACCTAGAGAAATTTACAGAGAAAATTGAGCTACTCACAAACGAATTTTTCTATAATTTTTACAAGAAAACACCATGCTAAATTCATCAAAGAACTTATAATACAAAATCTAATTATATTTTAAAAAATAGCAAACAGTACACATCCCAAAAGATCAAAAATAAAATTCAAACTTAGAAATCTAGTGAAAATCAAATAAGCAACATAAATTAGTGCGAGTTTAATGTAGGCAAGAAAAATTCAAATGCTAGAGAAAATCAAGCAAGGCACAGAGCAAAAAAGAGTCCAATGTGTTCAGAGAAAATTAATCTAAAGGAGATATCTTAGTGCTAGAGAAAATTCATCTCAAAAGGAAAATTACACAGAAGGAGACAGCTAATCAGTGAAAATCAAACAAGTAATCTAAATTAATAAGAGTTTAATGTTTTTAGGAAAAATTCAAATACCAGAGAAAATTCAACTCAAGGAACAACTAACTAGTGAAAATCAAACAAACAACACAAATTAGTGGGAGTTTAATGTGGTTAAGAAAAATTAAAATGCTAGAGAAAATTGGAGAGAAAATCAAAGAGACAACTAGCCATAGAAAATCAAGCAAGGCATGTAGAGAGTAAAGTGAATCCAATGTGCTCAAAGAAATTTTTGATGCCAGAGAAAATTCATCTCAACAAGAAAAATACACAAAATGAGACAATCAACCCGTGAAAATTAAAGAAGCAACATAATTTAATGGGTCAAGAAAAATTCAAATGCTAGAGAAAATCAATCAAAGCACCTAAGTTAATGTGATTATAATTGTGGTCAAAGAAAATTTGGATCCTAAAGAAAATTCATCGCATGGAGTAAACTAACTAGTAAAAATCAAACAAGCAATATAAATTGAAATGTCAAAGAAAATTCATCTCAACCAAACTAATGGCTAAGAAATTACAAAGAAATTCATATCAACCAAACTACTAGCTTCGACAAGATGAAGCAAACAGATAAAGTAAAGTGAATCTAATGTCATTAGAGAAAATTTAGATGCAAGAGAAAATTATAAATAGAATCACATAACAAAACCTAATGTCCTCAAAGAAAATTCGGATGCAAGAAAAAATTATAGACATAATCTAACATCATCAGAGAAAATTCATTGTTTGACTATTTTCCAAAATTATATCTCATTTTTAACGTCTTTCAAGTTGACTCATAATCCTTTTGTCACAAAGTTTTTCTTTTTTTAAAACTTAGAAGAAAAAAAATATATATTATCAGAACCAAGAAATGTGGACAAAGATTAATGGAGGAAATTGACAAAAAGAAAAGACAATCTGTATTCCTATTTTCTTCTAATGTCATATAATTTTGCTACAAGTAAACAAGACATTTTGAGTAGAGCAAAGCGAACCCTTCTTATGATGGTTTGGGCTTAAGATCTGAAACAATTTGACATATTTCTACAACAAAATCCCCACCGCAACTCCTTTCTCTACCCAATTCCAATCCCAATCCCAAATCCAAACCCAACCACAATCTAAAATTTATGTGTCACCCATGAACCAAAGGCACAGTACATCAATTAAAATCACATGATTGCTAATAATTGTAGTAATCAGTGGCCTTTCCTTATTGAAATTTCAAATAGAAAATACAGAGACGAAAAATTGGTATATGTATATATATATATATATAGAGAGAGAGAGAGAGAGAGAGAAATAGAGATTTAGTATATGTATAAATATATAGAGAGGGGGAGAGAGAGAGAGAGAGGGTGTGATATATAAGTGTGGAGGGACTTGAGGTTACAAAAAATATATATATTGTGCACCTCTCTCGTTATTAAAAGATTTTTTTTTTTTAATTTTATTTTTTTAGAGGGTGTCCCATTACTAAAAGTTGGAGAGGAAAGTTAAACCAATTTTTTCTTTTTATTTTAAATCTAAAAACTTTTGCCAACATATATGTTTTTAAATTTTTTTAAAGGGTATCATCATTATTTTTCCTTTTTATTTTTTTTTCAGTGAAAAATATATTATGTTTCTTTTAAATTATAAAGGATTAAATTCATTTTACCCCTTTGTGATTTGGGAATGGACCACTTTACTTACTATCGTTCAAATATAGTCAGAAAGTTTCTATGTGATTTTAACTAAAGTATTACCATTAATTTTTCTATCCAAACTAACGGAATGTGCATTACACACACTATTTTTGAGAGTGGGTGTTGTTTTTTGAAAAATTAGAATGAAATTAATACAATAAAATGACAATTTTACCCCCATTTTCTCCAAACCTAAAATTAGATTAATATGTCAATTAAATTAAATTAAAATATAATTAAGAATTTATTAAAATATAAATTATACTTAAATAAAATATAAAATAAAATAAACAATAATTAAG